TTAAAGTCCATACTAAAGTCCAGGTAGACAACAGCCACAGCCTTTCCCTCATCCACTAAGCAGGTCACCTTGTCATAGAAGGAGATCAGGTTGGTCAAGCAGGACCTGCCCTTCATGAACCCATGCGGGCTGGGCCTGATCCCCTGATTGTCCCACACGTACCACGTGATGGCCCTCAGGATGATCTGCTCCATAACCTTCCCCAGCACTGAGGTCAAGCTGACAGGCCTGTAGTTCCCTAGATCCTCCTTCTGGCCCTTCTGGTAGATGGGTGTCACATTAGCTAACTTCCACTCAGCTGGGACCTCCCCGGTTAACCACGACTGCTGGTAAATGATGGAAAGTGGCTTGGCAAGCTCCTTCATCAGCTCCCTCAGTATCCTTGGGTGGATCCCATCTGGTCCCCTAGACTTGTGGGCATCTAGGTAGAGTAGCAGGTTGCTATCTGTTACCTCTTGGATTATCGGGGCTTTATTCTGCTTCTCATCTCCATCTCCCAGCTCAGGGGGCTGAATACCCTGAGGATAACCAGCCTGACTACTAAAGACTGAGGCAAAGAAGGCATTAAGTACCTCAGCCTTCTCCTCATCCTTTGTGGCGATGTTGCTCTCAGATATTGTGATTCCCGTTTGCTTTCTCAAACAGGGGGAAAGCAATTCTTCTAGCACAAGTATGCTCTCAGTAACTGTTAAAATACTTTCAAGAAGTAGTCACAGACATTGTGGGGTTTTTACAGCAGTGCTTCCTGGGCTTCCTTTTCGACACCGCTATGCAATGCGTACTGTTATTATGAACTAAACAGGCCAGGTGTAATTCTGGTGAAACCTGCCTGTCATGGTTTAATCCCAGCTGGCAACTAAGCACCATACAGCTGCTCGCTCGCTCACCCTCACCCCCCCCTCCTGATGGGATGGGGGAGAGAATTGGAAGGGTAAAAGTGAGAAAACTCATGGGTTGAGATAAGAACAGTTTAATAATTGAAATAAAATAATAATGATAATAATAATGAAAAGGAAAATAACGACAACAAAGAAGAACGAAACCCAGGAAAAACAAGTGATGCAACCACTCACCACCCGCCAACCGATGCCCAGCCTGTCACCAAGCAGCAACCACTGCCCCCCCCAGCCAACTCCCCTGAGTTTATATACTGAGCATGACATCATATGGTATGGAACAGCCCTTTGGCCAGTCTGGATCAGCTGTCTTGGCTGTGCTCCCTCCCAGCTTCTTGTGCACCTGGCAGAGCATGGGAAGCTGAAAAGTCCTTGACTAGTGTAAGCAGTACTTTGCAACAACTAAAACATCAGTGTGTTATCAACATTATTCCCATACTAAATCCAAAGCACAGCACTATATCAGCCACTACGAAGAAAATTAACTCTATCCCAGCCGAAACCAAGACAGAGCCACAACAAGCCTCTTTATGTTGTTCTGTTCTAGTTGCTCCCCATCAGGAACAGACGAGAAGCATGTAGAACCAGAAATGGGAGGAAGCAGGATTTTATACATTACAGTGGAAAAGAGCAGAGAAGAAAAAAGAGAAAAGATCCCAACAGCCAAGGTATTCCATGGATTTGGCTAGGGCATTCTGTGGCTGCCCTCCCCACCCCAGTCTGTTCTGAGTCCATGCAGCAGTAATATCCAACTGCTAAGTTTTATCTTCATGGACTCAGTGACTAACAAGTTCAGAAAACGGAAACAAGCTCATGCTCTCTAAATAGAGCTGAAATACAGTGTAGGTGGGGTATACTCAGGATTAACTGAACTTTTCAAAAAAAAAAAAGCCCAGAGGTCACTGAACTAAGTAACCGACAGTATAAAACTGAAGTTAAGCTTCTTTTCATTTTGTGCATGCATGTACAGGTTGTATTAAAGATGGAAGACTGCACAAATTTGGTACCACCTGGAGGACCAAAGGCGTGCTTCCAATACCAGTGCAGCCAAAGCAGGGTCCACTGTCACACCATGTAAGTTCTACAAAGCCAGAGGCACCAGTGGCAAGAACTACAGCAATGCTCCCATCTGCCACCCTTCCTATAGCTAACTCCTTAAGTCACACCTCCACAAAAAGTATTTTATTTTTCATAGTTATGATATTCATTTGCTTAACCAGCTGCAGGGTCAGGATAACAAGCTGTGATTGAAATCACTGTGTTCTCTCATTTCTGGAATAAACTTTTCTGTCATTTTCTGATTCACTGAGGATTTCTAAGATCTTTTTATTACCCTGTGGCTTGAATTGAAGGTTAGAAGTGTAGGAAATATTGTGTTACCCATAAATTGGAGATCTCTTTTTGGCTAGCTCTGCCACTCGTATCCATTCTGTTCTACTGCCTCTGGACTTTTGCCCTTTCTGCTATAGCATTTGTGGCTATCTTCCTCAGTGCTACCCACACTGCAGAGATGGAGGTCTCCTCCTTGCAAACACAGCCTGGCATTTGTGGTTGATTCTTTAGATCTTCCTGTCTGTCTCTATGTCCCTTGCTTAGCACTGAGCCTTCATTTGGAGATCATGACCTGACAGGATTTTCCAGACTAGCTGAGGAATTAGCATGTGTTTTAAAAGAATGCATTTGTGCCTTAGGAAGAGGGATCTTTGCTTATCCACAGAACTAAACAGGGAAATAAAAATGAAGTGTTTCTCATCCCACTGAAATTGCACTGAATTAAAACTGAAATTTGGCCCAGGGACTCTGCTACATATGGAAGGAGACAGGGGTGTTCAGATCAGGGGAGAAATGACATTGTTGTCTCCAGCTTGGGCCTCCCAGCTTGAATTGAGACCTTGATTCAAATTTCTGCTATGCCACATGTTACCTGGGACAAGTCACTCACACCATCTGTGCCCCTTGCCTGTAAAATTAATACAATTCTTTGCTAATCCCTATACCAGGAGAGATCTGAGGTCATAGGCTTTGAGGTTTGTGGGTATATGACCCTCAGAGTTAACAAAAACATTCCCACCAAGATAAAACTTCCTTCTACCACATTTACAACATGTTTCTGTGTCAGCAGTGCACCATATATTTTAATGCTGTTTGCCTGTGCTTTTTCTTAAAACAGTTGCCCTTTCCTCACATGCAAATGTGGCAGACTAACAATTGTAAAACTAGAAGACTTCTTCCCCTACCAGGGCTACACAGTTCGCAATGTTTGAACCAACTAGATCAAAGCAAAGCAAAAGGGGACTGTACTTGACTCCTTTGCTATCAAATTACTGTTCTAAGCATTCAGAAAACATGTCTGTCCCTGACATGTACAACCTCTGCAGAAAGGGGACCCTTTCTCCCTGGCTACAGGGATGAAAATACATAATGCCTATTTTTCCCTTGCTCACAGAGGACCTGAGTGTATGGGTCTTCTACATGATGGAAAACAGAAAAAGGAAGAAAATGGTTGTCTAGGACCCTTTTCTAAGGGCCTACAGATGCCAGGCACTCTCCACAGAAACTCTGCTTTACATGTAACCCTTCCAACCAGCACTCCTTTTCCACAAGAGCCTTCTTTCATCTTCAGTTGATGAACAAGAGAGCTGAATAATTGTTCAAAGTTCCTCACTTTTAAAACCTAGATGGTTCAAACTAACCTTGCAGATTTTGTTGTGAGTGACAACCACAGCATCTCTAATGGGTTTCTCAGGGCAAGTGCTAAATATTCCTTCCAGGCTTGAAATTCCTTTTGAAGTACCTCCCATAACTGCATTCCAGATCTGGTGTGGCACAAGAGCCACACCTATTTATTCAGTGCCTTTCAGAAACAAACCTTCCTGTATATAATTGGCTTATTTTAATAATGTCCACCCCATGAGGTCATTTTGCAGAAACCTCATTGGAGTTATTCATGCATGTTCAGTTTGCTCAAGGACTGGTATCATGAATTCCCTCTCTATATAAGTTCTCTGAGAAGATGAGCTTCTTACAGGTTGTCTCCTTACTAAAGGCCTCATAATTCTGCAAGAATGGTAAGTCTTTACATCTTACACTGTAAAAGACCATGGTATTTTGCTATAAATTTTAAAGGAGGTTCTATAGGATTCATCTCAGTACTCAGAGATCTAAGCAACTCGGAGAAAGTAGAAATTCTGTGTTTTGAGCTAAAGTCAGACAGATAGACACAGGCAGGTAAGAACCTTGAGTAAAAGACATCAGCATGTACATGGCAGGAGAGGTCTAATAGGACTCCAGCTAAGGCTTTTTATTATAACCTGTTTTCACTTACCTATAATTTTTGGAAGTAATTTCTTTTCTGGCAGAAAGCAGCTCGTTTGTGTCTCAACCTAGAACTGGCCTTCATTTTTGTGAAAAGTCTGGATAATGTCTGAACATTTAGTTAAACTCAAAAACATTATCTTAATTTTTACTCATTTGCAGCTCTGTTGCAATTCTATGGGTTTTAATCTCTCCTCTGCAAAATTAAATGCTAGTTTTTCCTCATCCCATCTCTCAGATGGGACTTTTTATAAGTCAGCAGTTCTACTCTGTCAAAAAAACCCCACGCTAAATACAATATATATGTGGGTATATGTCATTGTTCATTCCTGGTCTACCTTTCCTCTCTTACCAACATCACAGCTAATTCCACCCTAGAGTTCTTGTACTTATTTTCATCATATCCCCAGTGAAACACCTTCAAACATTTCAAACTAATATTGAAGGATAGGGGACTCACTGAGGAATTTAAGCTGAACTTTCAGAAAAAGCTGCTGACAAATATCAAAATGTAGAATTATCTAGGTTGGAAAGGACACCTGCAGGTCATTTGGTCCAACCTCCTGCTCAAAGCAGGGCCAAATCTTGAGGGTTCAATTTCAGCTGAAGTTCTTAAGCTTATTCCTAATCCTTCAATATTAGGGTGAAACACCCAGTGGGTTCTTCAGACTCCAGTAAAAAAGTTGTTTTTACAACTATGAGTGAGGTTAGTGGCAGAGATGGTCAGTGACCAATCCTATGGAGAAAATAAAGACAAGAAAAAATGAATGGGGAGGAGAAAGGCGTATAACACTCTCCTTTCACAAACAGTATCTATCAGTCTTGTATTAGGCAATGCTTGATTTTTACAGCTTGGAAAGACAGACTCTTCTTTCCCCCCTCCCAAATGATGCTCTGTCTCTGCTCCTTCTAAATGGCTCGGTATTCCTGAGTGTGTGTTAAAGCGTCTAAACTGCAAAAGACAATGGATTTTATTTTGAAACCACAATGTATTTTCCTATTTCTAATGGTATTATTTATCATCAAGACATCTTAATCTTTACTTAAGTATTCATATTAATTCTGCTTTCTTGTTCAGAAAACCATCTTGGCCTGCCTTCTTGTTCTTGCCATTAGCGTGACACTGTCCAATGCTGCTTGCTTCTTGCAGCCATTGAAGCCAGGGATGTCTGATGGTAAGATCATAAATAAGAAGTCGACTGTCCTCAACTTGACAGACATCACCACAAGCAGTGCCTGATTTGGTTTGTCCATTCAGTGCAATTTATCACAATTTAGAGATAAGTGGAAACGGTGGAGAGAAACCACTAGGAAATGGGGGGGGATGCAGTGTGGAGAACAGGGAATTTATAATATGTTATAAAAAAAAAAAAAAGAGTTTAATCTGAGGAACATCACACAGGCCAAATTACAAATGAATTTTGTCCAGAGAAATAACATGGGATTCATTTATAAATCTGCATGAAGTAATAATGAATGTTTTCACTATGGCAGCATGTTTAGAAATACAGAAAAGGGAGGAGAAGAACCTTTCTCTATGCGTGTGGTCAGTATAAAGCAGGAAACAGATTAACAGATGTTCAGCACACTGGTCAGTTTACCGATTAGTTGTTTCCCTATCCCAAGGACAGTTCTTAAGAATAGAATGGCTGCTCCCCTTGAGTCTGGGACTACTCTTCCTGAACACAGGTAGTCTATCAGTCTGCAGATGAGTGGAGCTGCAGGAAAATAAGTGCTCAAAAGAAACATGCAATTATTTGGACACAAGAAGCACTGATGCATGCCAGTATGAAAAATAAACCACGTGCCCCAAAATAGAGCTTTTTCTGGGAAAGCTAGTGATCCTACTAGAAAAATGAGTTAGCATTGCCAAAGAAACAGAACATATTTATAGGCAAAGATGCAACCTAGAACCCCAAATTCCTCCACTCTGTCTTGTCCTGTCCTCATAAAATCCTGCTTTCCAGATCACTCATTTAGGAAGCCTATTCATAGAATCACAGAATAGCTTGGGTTGGAAGGGACCTTTAAAGGTCACCTGACATCTTCAGCTAGATCAGGTTGCTCAGAGCCCCATCCAACCTGACCTTGAATGTTTCCAGGGATGGGCATCTACCACCTCTGTGGGCAACCTGTTCCAGTGTTTCACCACCCTCACCGTGAAAAAATGTCTTCCTTATATCTAGTCTAAATCTACCCTGTTTTAGTTTAAAACCATTACCCCTTGTCCTATGACAACAGGCCCTACTAAAAGGTTTGTCCCTATCTTTCTTATAAACCCACTTCTAGTACCTGAAGGCTGCAATTAGGTCTTCCCAGAGCCTTGTCTTCTCCAGGCTGAACAACCCCAAATCTCTCAGCTTTTCTTCAGAAGAGAGGTGTTACGTCTCTGATCATTTTTGTGGCCCTCCTCTGGACCTGCTCCAACAGGTCCATGTCCTTCCTGTGCTGAGGACCCCAGAGCTGGATGCAGGACCCCAGAGCTGGATGCAGGACCCCAGGTGGGGTCTTGCCAGAGTGAAGTAGAGGGGCAGAATCACCTCCCTCGACCTGCTGGCCATGCTTCTTTTGATGCAGCCCAGAATACGGTTGACTTTCTGGGCTGTGAGCACACATTGCCAGCTCGTGTTCAGCTTTTCATTCACCAGTACCCCACTTCTCTGCAGGGCTGCTCCCAATCCTTTCATGCCCCAGCCTGTATTGATAACAGGGGTTGCACTGACCCAGGTGCAGGACCTTGCACCTGGCCTTGTTGAATCTCATGAGGTTCACATGGGCCTGCTTTTTGAGCTTGTCCAGGTTCCTCTGGATGGCATCCTGTCCTTCAGGTGTGTCAACTGTGCCACTCAGCTTGGTGTCATCTGCAATTCCGTGACTGTTGGACAGGCACTTTGTATATAATATGTGCTTTCTTACTGCAGCTGAGGATTGGGAAAAGTTTTCCAGGCAGATTTAGTCTTGCTCTAAACGAGGAGTCAACAATAGTTGGTGTTAATAAGGGAGGAAGTCAAAGCCTTTTCTTGATTCTGACCAGGTCTGTGCCTAGTTGTCTTTCTGCTGGGTGTTCCGATTCCTATATTTAAAGATTACCTACTCCAGGAAACCCGATGCTGCCAAGAACCACAGTAAACAGAGGAACCCAGGATACCCTTCTCCATGCATGAGAATAGTAGCAGTCCTGCTCTGTTGGGGACCCTCAGTGTTTGCCAGATAGGGATGTCAATGTAAAACGCCAAAAAAGATACCCATTTTGTACAAGCAATAGCATTGTTAGTGCAATAGGTCTGACACTGAGGGCTGCTTGCACACTATGTTTTCAGGCTGCCTTGACTCGAATGGAGAACTGCATGAATTTGGTTCCAGCTGGAGGAGCGCAGACTGCAATGATTGCTCCTGTTCCAGGGATGCAATCCGCTGCTGCTCCAGGTGAGTTCAGAGAAGCAGTGGGAGTTTTTCTCCACTGCCATGATACAGCAAAAAGCACTTCCCTTCACACAGGGGTTCCTGAGAAATGACCGCAACCCTTCTGTCACTCACTTCATATCACAAAGTTATACATAAACCCAACACCATCATTACTGAGCATTCAAGAAGTTCCTCTGACCACTATAGCTCATGTTTAAAAAAAAAAATTCTTTATTTAAAAGTACTTAATTCTTCTTGGGGCTAAAATTTCAGGCAAGATACTGATTCAAGAGACAACACATAGTTACTTCAGAATTTTCTACTGCTCCTAATCGAGATCTTCCCAAAGCCACACATAGCCCGCTGAGAAGCAGCTCAAGATACACTGGTCTGCTTGTAATTTTTATTATAGCAACACCCAACCACTGCTGCAATTCTTGTTCCATGTTGTGGCTGAAAAGAAAGATCAATAATATTTGAGTAGTAAATAAACACAACAAACATCCCTTGGGTATAAATCAGATCAGTAAACAACAACTGTCCCCTAATCCTGCTCTAAGCAGCAGGCTAAGTAACTTTTGAGCTGAGAGCTTTGTGCGAGCTCCCTTTTCTGCTCCTGAACACCTCCTCAGTGTAGCCTCTTCATATTGAAAGTGTAGATACCATCTGAAATGGAAGCTGTTTACTTCTTGGTCTCATCACCTCTTTGTCTTTCTTTTCCCAATGACAGCTTTGTAACACCAGTTGACTACGATAAAGAGAAGTGTGTAAGCATTTTCAACAAGGAGACCTGCACTTATGAAGTAGTGGAGAAAGATGATCACTCAAAAGAATGCCCAGTCCGTGGGTGGGTGGGCTAAAAGAGAAGGTTTATGGATTTGGAGGATATTTCTTTTTTTGTCTGTTTTAAGGGTTCTCTCTCTCACAAATTAAAACACACTGAAAAATACAGCTGTTGAGTGAAACCTACTCATAAAACCTAACACATAATAAAACTGAATACCTACTCACAAAAGACTCCCTTGGTTTCTCTGCCTTCTGCTTCCTTATGAAGCAAGAACTGACTTGTTCCTTCCTTGAGAGCAGAAATTAAAGCTAACATTTTTAAGCGTCCTCAGTAGCTGCTAATTTTAATTCTTCTCCAGTCACACTTCGGTGCCAGGGAGTACATTTTGTTATCTGTGCACAGCTGTATCTTAAAGCTAAAATAAAATCAGATGAAGCATCAGAAATTCACGTGACTTATTTTCTTTGATGGAAACCTAAAGGATTAACATTCAAAAAAAAACATGGGAAAGAAATGAAAAGCAACTTAAAAATCTTTCTGAACACTCTCTTTTCTAAGACACTGCCTTATATGATAATCTTTTATCCTATATGGTTCCCTGGAGCCTGCCCAGCCTATAGACTGAGAGAGCCACCAGCTACCCAGTCTAACCCAGCACTATACTTCCATTGCACCCAGAGCACAGCAGACTCAGTCTTTAACCCGGGGTTTGGGTAAAAGAAAGGGTCCTTTATTCAGATTAACCCTTAAGAAATTCAAGTTATTAAATTGGCCAATGGGCAGAATTGTGGCTGTATGGAAAGACTGATCTGGACTGGGCTCAAACAGGGAAGCATCCCAGCAAATCCACAAACAATAACTGAGAGGGATGCACATGCTGGTATAAGCTCTCCTTCAGGGCGGTGCTTCATAATCTTTATGGGTACATTTGTTCAGTTTTCTCTTTCCACAAGTGACTATGAGCATCCTACGTCTCCATGTCTCTATTTCCTTGTAACAGAAAGAGCGTGTCAGAGCTTCCATAGTTCCACATTTCAAATTATGGAATGAGCACACACCTTGTCAGCAGGGCTCAGTCTTGGTGTCTGCAGGGGCAAGGCAAACCTCAGCTTCTGTCAGCCTTGACCACATGTGCTCCAGTAAGTAACACAGGACCCTAGGAATTACACCCCAGTGATTTATTCCACCTCTGCTTCCCTTTCTCCTTCCCCAGGAAGGCAACCCTGTTGGTTACACTTTTTTTAAATTGCCTGCCACATACCGTCTTGGAAGAGGGCCCATAGTAATGTACTTTATACAACAGCTTGCAAGCCAAAGCTGCTAATGTTACTGTGCAAATAGACTAAAGGTGTCACAAAGCCCATAAGGCACGCACATCAACAGTGGTAACAATTACATCTACTGGGAAAAAGGTAAGAGGGTTCTGCATGATTTGAGCTGCATCTGTCCCACTTTCTGCTTTCTAGGCTACCAAAAAATGTGCAACACTGGTTGAGGTCTTGTGCTCCACATCAGATAAGACGCAGGTGTCAACAGGCTGCCCAGGAGCACACACAAGATTAGGTTGTAACTGAACCCATGTTCCTGAGAAGCCCAGGTAGATGCTGTATGTAGAAGTTCAGAGCGTAACACCCAAAGTACCTTAGTTTGAGAACAAAGAATACCTCTTCCCTTATTGTCTTTAGGCAGTTGGATTTTGATCATGTACTTACCAGAAGTAGCTTGACAATTTGCCTGTCAAAACACCTGTTTATTATGCAGTTTACCTCTAAACTCACCTGAAACTGACTGCTGAATTAGTTTGTGTTTTTTCTTTTTTGTTTTTGGTGGGTTTTTTTTGTTGTTGTTTTTGTTTGTTTGTTTGTTTTCCCTAACGTCTACCCATATCTGGAAGCTACTGGGACCTGCTTATGGTTTATTTATGCAGATAGTCAATTACAATTCATTGTGGAACAAGCTTTGTAACCAACTATTTAGGCACATGATTAGTATCTGTCTTGATCAGATGTCCCTTAGTGATAAGGAACTATTTCATACAACCAGTCAAAAATAAGATCCAGACTTCATAATTATATTCAGGAAGACTACAAGCTAGAGAATACAATGACTAAGAATATAACAGTAACCAAAAAGTAATGTGCTCTGATGATGTTTCTGAAGGCAGTGATATAAACTTTCTCAGTATTTCCAGAGATATTCCGAGTTCAGTATGGAGACACCTGCTTCTGAACCCCTGAATTATTCCTTTTCTGCAGTACCATAGCTTAAACTGGAAATGTCAATGTGTCTGGAATTGTGACCTGCATTTGACTGAAGCTGAGCCTTGCGTGTATGGTCTCTGTATACAAGAGGTCAAGTTCTGCACAATCTTCCAGAAGAGGAGGCTATTTTTTTTTTCTTCCTGCCGTCTTCCTCCCCTCCTCAGTTAATTCCTTTTCTGCATCACTAAAGTCTGCTAATTTCTTTTTCTCCAGTTGTTCTGAGGGCATCAATCTTTTCCGTTCTACTGCAGATCACAGTCTGATCTCTGAAACAGAGTGAAATCCACTGGAGTCCATTTACCCTGAGCTCCTTGCTGTGTGCTTAAGTTTGCCAGTTTGAGTAGTCTCGGACAGAGCAGAAGCAGGTGAGGCATCCCATTATGTAATGTCTGAAAATGGTTCAAAGACTGGGAGTGTTACAACTCCTGAGTCATTTCAGATGGACTCTACCCAAGCATCAAGGCCATGAGAGGAAGTTTAAAAACCAAGCCATTATTCTATCCCATATCTTACAAGTGCCATCCGTGTACAGCCAGCATTCATGTTGTCAAACATGAATCTTGCTGTTTACAGCAGGTAGAACATTCAGATTCACAGCCTGCCCCAATACCCAATGAAGAGCAGCAAAAAAGTTTGCCTGCCAAGATTTGCTATAGTGGAATGGAGTGTGGACAGATAATTTTGGAGCTTGTGTAATAGTCTTCAGCCTTTTTTATACCGCATGAAGGAGAGATTTTTCTCTCTGTTATTGCCATCCTGGCAGCAAATGCAATTTGAGCCCCACCCACAAAGAGGCCATCTTCTTACTAGATTTGTTCCCGCAGTAATAAGCTGCCTTTACATCATACTCCAGCTCCCTAATTAGTTTAATCCAGTGTATGTTCAGGCTGTTAGTTTCCTGCTTGCCTCTAGCTACCACCTTCCTTATTCTAGCACCAAAATTTTGTTTTCCAGTGTTCTGGTCTGACTCATTGTTCTGGATGACCAGACCCAGCCCTGCCAGCACCTGCCAAGGATGCTGAAGTTGGGTTAGAATCCTTTTGGAACTGCACCCGCATACTTACACACACAATCACAATTAACCTAGTACAAAGCACATGTGTTTTTTGGGAAAACTCTCTGACAGTATAACTACAAGCAGAAATACTACCTTCCCTCTTCTGCTTCCTGCTCTCCCCTGCTTGGAAAGCTCAAGACTTACCATTCTCAAAACAATCTATCCACATTCAGTGACACTGCTTGGGAGACACCATCCCCATTAGCAGCTAGGCCATGAGTCTGCTTACCGTCCTTTGCATGCCTCTGCTAAGATAAAGTGTATTTGAAGGCATCTTCTAATGACATTATGCCTAGCACAGACTCCAGCACTTCAGGGTTGAGGCCAGAGGACTTGAAAATACTTTCTGAGAAACTGCAGCACCATGATACACTGGAATTTTAGGGTTGCTATTTCTAATTTCCACTGAAGGAGATGACACAAGAAGGGTAGCAGCATAGATGGAGGGAGACTTTTTACCAAGGCCTGTAATGGCAGGACAAAGGGTAAAGATTTTAAACTAAAAGAGGGTACCTTCAGATTAGATACAAGGAAAGAATTCTTTACTATGAGGGTGCTGAGTCCTGAGACACTGGAACAGGTTGCCCAGAGAAGTTGTGGATGCTCCATGCCTGGGAGTGTTCAAGGTCAGGTTGGATAGGGCTTTGAGCAACCTGGTCTAGTGGAAGATGTACCTGCCCATGGCAGGGGGAGCAGAACTAGGTGATCTTTGAAGGGCCGTTCCAACTCAAACCATTCTATGGATGTCTTTCTGTCTGCAAGAGACTTCCAGGTTCAATTGTAAGGCATATCCATAAAGAACACAAAGTCTTAATTTAGCTGTGACCGAAGATTTACTTTACTTTTTAAGGCTAAGCAGACCTATGCACCCAAATTCCAGAAAAGCTGGAGTTACCAGCACTTCTACATGATCCAGACCTATTTAACCACATTTTAAATCCATCCAAGCACCTTTCTCTACCATCTGCCAAGTCTTGTAACAGTATGTGGATCTACCCTGTCTGCTATGCAGAGGTAGGAAAGATTAATTTCATGTCTAATCCAAAAATCCTCCAGGGAACAGTCTGCTCTTGTCTGCTCCAAATTTCAACATGGAAACAGGTGATGTTACCTAGTGCATCTAGTTTTGGAATACCAGAAGCACAGCAGGGACTTGACTCCCTTCTGTAGCAAGGGGTCTAGCTGTGGGAGGGTGGCAAAACTTTCAAAGTCGAGAAAGCAGAGACAGAGCATACAAAGCTCTGCTTTGCTCTTCCCACTTTTGCTAAGTGATGTTTTGTCTTGGCATTTCACTATTTCAACACACACAGCTACAGTCTCATACAAAGAATACACCCCCCCCCCCCCAAAGCCTTAGATTGTAACACCACTAGCTCCACATAATGGAAAGAAAACATTCACATAAGAGTTTCTTCAATTATCCTGACATGTTAAAGGTTTAAGAGACTCTGCAGAACCTTAGGAGGCAACACAGCCTGGGCAGAGCAGAAGAGGTTGTGTGCTCTCTTTCCCCCGGTTTCCTTTTCTCTACCTGGTAGCACACAGCTCTTCCACTAGCCCTGCCAGAAAGAGAGGCAGTTTCAGATAGCTGGCCCTGGTCCCTCTACTCCCAATAATTCTTTTCAAGGCAAGTCTTTTGAGTACTGGAAATGTGTTCTTGCCCTAAAAATAAAATCTAGTTCTTAACCTACCAACTACCAAGTCTTTTAAACTAAACACCAGAACACACATGTCATGAATCTGATGGAAGTTTTCCTATCAAACAATGTTTATCACCTAAAACCTAATGGTTTAGTACCCATTCATGTTTTGTTTCCGTTAAGATTTTTGCTCCAATCTTAAAAATAAAGTCCAACTTAAACAATCATAATCAAGGAAAGTGCATATCTCATTTACATTGTGCATACCAAAGAAGCTAGAGATTTGCAGTTCACATTCTACTTCGGGGCAATTTAAAAAACTTAGATGAATTCAATTAATGACAACTCCACTTGTTCACTTTACTCTTAGTTAACTTGTCTGTTGGTATGCAGGAAAGTTTGCCTTGGCACCTTCTGAAAGCCTGAATGTTTCTATTCAAATCTATTGTTGTGTGCATGTTTCCCTGGACTAAGCTGTGGTTTATTTTAGGGCAAACCGGTTGGCTTTACAATAGGTATTTACATGAAACTCTGGAACACACAAGTCATATGACCAATCTAAAATACTCAGCAAGACCAGGTTACTTTAACACTTCTCCCCACCCCCAAAAATTCTGTTTTCACATTTTCTTTCTTTCAGCATGTAAGTCTCAATCACTGACCCATGCTTTTTACACTTCTCCAGGGCTTCAGTGCTTTTGCATAGTCAATACTTCAAGCAGATCTCTGTTAGGGAGCACTGATAAACTGCAGTCCTTTGCCACCACGAGACAATAACCTCCTTCAAAATATCCCAGTATTTTCTCTACTGTAATTCTAGAGGTTTCTCCCATTGCTGCCCTGGCCTACCAAAGATAGGACAAATCTACAGAGACAGAAACAAGAAGTTTTGTTTAACAGCTAACTATAATGGCTCAGACACTGTGCAAGAATTCATTCCCTAAACTGTATAACACAAGTCATTCCAGTCCACTGTACAAAGGGCACGGTAGCTGGACTGGGCTGAAATATCAGCTTGGGACCATGTAGCTTCCCTAACGCACTATACTGAGCCAAGATACAGTCTCATTAGAGTACAACAGCTCCCTGAGGCACTTTGCCTCCCATTTTCAGTTCCCATTTTGGGACTTGCTTGATCTCTCCTAACAGCGCTATACCTTAATCTCCCTAGGTCCTGCACAGGGAGGAAGCTTCCTGGGGGCTGCAAGATCTTATTTTATTGGGGTGCTCTCCTGCTCTTGCCCTGCTCCTGTGCACCAAAGGTGACGGTCAAGGAGAGGCGAGCAGGGGTCTGGCTTGGTGCAGTATTCACTCAAAATTCTTTACACTTCTGAAGTCATAGACTGGATTATTTAATAAAAGCCTTTTTTCCAGCTCAAATGTTTGTTCCTGTTTGTAGTATTTGAGTGTGTAAGGCAGACTGTTGAACAGGTACACTCAAAGCACAGAGTATTGTTCTCAAATATTAACAGTAAATTATACAAATGGATTAGATAAAAGGTCAACTCTAACATTATTACGAATCCTGGCAGAGATATTTGTGAGCATAACACCCAGAAGTTCAGCATCTGGTTTGACTACATGGCTGGTCTCAGGCCTATATTTTTAGGATATAATTTCTGTTGAGCAGCCAATATTACTCATTTACATCTCCCTTCACTTTCTTCCAAGTATCTCTTCCGAATGGGGGACTATCTTTTCAGTAAGAAGGAGTTTAAAAGTTAGAAAAATCAAAATTGTATGAGAAATGGAGAGTGGCATACCAGTATTCTTTGCTTGGTACTCACTGCTAGCCAAGAATTTCAGAGAGGACCTAAGTTTTTCAGCAAGCCTAGTGGGAATTATCAGAAGCTTGATCAAGCAAATTGCTCTAAATACAGCCCAGCTACATTAGTACAGCTTATTTGTCTATGCATGTGACAGCTCTGGAACTTTTCTTCTGTTGTTGAAGTTTGTTTGTATCGTTCTTTTTTCTCTCCCATCAATTCACTGCAGTCACTAGGTGGCATCCTAGTTCTGCCACAGTGCTCCTGTGCTGGAAGGAGAGCCTGGACAAGTCAGCGCTACAGAGAACCTAGATCCTGATTGAGCTGGCAGACCTGAGCTCCATTTCTGTTTGCTCCAGTGAGGTTTAAGAATGTAAGCAGCATTTTAGAGGTGTCTTTAGTCTATCACTACAAAAAGAAACCTGCAAGGAGATACCATGGACAGGACTAAGTACTTTTAAGAGTGATTTTTGAACTTCGACGTAGACTGCCCTGCCTGTATTACCCTTGATACAGGACAATGAAAACTTAACAATAACACTAGTTCAGAGTTTCATTGGGGGAATAGATGCATTAGCACCCCCAATTGTTAACACAGAGCAAAACAAGGAGTTTGCCCCTTGCAGCACAGAGTGAGTCAAGTCAGATGTGATGACTTGTGAAATCATCACTAGGGATGAAAGGGAAAGTCTAATACCAATTCTGAAATAAAGAATCTGGTTCACAGAAATAAAAAATAGTGCTGAGGTCAATTCTGTTTGGGAAGAGAAGTAACTTCGTAAGCTTTCTTAACAGTAGAAGCATTGATAGGACTGATCTCATGCCTATGGCAACCAACTTCTTTCTTACAGACCTCTCAAATTGCAGTTTTATTACATCAGTTTCTGGCTATACTGCCCTTCTTTCACTGCATTTTTCTTGTCTTTCAAGAATGGAGAGAGCAGATGCCAGAAAGTAAACTCTTAATAATTTGAAGGAAAAAAAAACCCAAAACCAAACAACTTTGCCCAGTTGATAGAGGTTTCCAACAGTCCATGCCAGTTACCGTACTTCCTGTCAACTTTAGAAATTAATTGTTGTGCATTGTGTTAGTGCAGTGTCCCTTAACTTTGGGGGTAATAAGTTCCATTTGCTAACCCTACCTCTGCTCAGATCTTAAGGTTATAGTCTTCCTGAAGATTTTGTTACAGGCAGGACTAGAAGTTCCTTCTGCACCCTTGTCCCCCAAGATTTCCAGCCAAACTCCTCAGAGGCACTACTGTCAGAAGTCAAGATGAAGACAGAGAAACAAATGTTTGTATACCAAGTTAGACTGGGCAACACTTCTCCCCCCCAAAAAAACCCAGCAGCTCAGAGCTGATAAGGTCATGGGCATTGGCTGGAAGAAACACAAGTGGCAGAACATGCCATTCACAATTCAGGAGGCACACAAGTAGCTGCTACCACCCTTCTCCTCTTGCACTAATTTGAGAGAGGGATCCCAGGAAACAGTTCTGTTGGCTGCCTGAACTCTACAGCATACTGACAAAATGTAATTGAATTGCAATGCTTTATTGGTCAGATAGACACATTTGGAAGCGTGTGGACAGGCACAGGATACATAGGCAAGACCAGCACCCTGTCTGCAAGAGGCAAAACAGCAGATGCTGGTTTTAGTGCAAGGCTTGCTCACTGGAGCTGCTACCAGACTGTTGTTTCTTCATAACATCAGGCAGCTCTGGGGTGCTTGAGAAGGGGTCAATATGCAATGGCTCAAAGGTTCCATTGCCAGGTCTGAATAAAGCCAAGCCCACTGTGGCAGGAACATGAGGACAGCAGCTTTGGCTGCTTAAGCCATAGTCTAGCAAAGTCCTATCATCATCATCCAGCAGCTGGTCATCTTTGTAGAGCTGCTGCTCCTCCAGTGACCTCTGCAGTAGTCCCTCCACCACCTTTTTCAACTCATGCACAGTTGTCATCTCTTTGGCCTCAATGAAGATTGTTGTCTTATGATGGCAAATCATCAAGTAGACATCCATTACTACCCTAGGGCTTCCTACAGTCCTCTTTCACTGGAAAAGATATTTCAGTCCTCTTAGTGAGAAACCTGTATTTTCAGGAGTAGCTGAAGTCAAGACAGAACTGTCATTAGATGAATGGATCCCATGGGGACAAGGAGGGAGGAAAAAGGAATACCTACAGGGAGCTGCTCTGCTAGACAGACTAAGATCCTCATGCTCTACACAGGCAGAGCTATTAAGTACATAATGACTTTCATCTTCCTAGCTAGATATCATCTAGCAGAGAGCTTTTAACACTGTTAATGAGCATTTGTGCTACTTCAGCTTCTTGCCTGAAAGGGTTTCATCCCCAGTTTGCTTTGGGCCACATACATCTACCCAAGATCCCAGGAGGAGCCAAGCATGCAACTCTGCACTCAGTACAGAAAGGATGGAGCACAGGAGAATGCAGCACATAAAGTGGTTGGGCTTTGTTGGTTTCTAGTCAGGCAAGAGACAAGAACTTCCCTGGCTCCTTCACATGTGCAGTAAAGACAGGAAAGTTGATAAATACAAAAGTGTCAAGAGTAGTCAAACTAATGGACAGTGTTAAGATATTTTAGCCTCCTACTCCAGTTTCAGGAAGTTAGTTGTCAAAATAGCTCATTGCCTAGCACCAATGCTGAGAGCAGAGACTCAGCTTAGGAGTAACTTCTCTCTCAGAGTTTGGCTAGGGTGGAAGAGACTCACACGGGAGCAGAGTGGGAGGGGAAATTAGGGCTGGTAGCAGCAGCTTAAAAAGGGAGGTCTTGAAAGCCCAGCCATTTTAGGGGTACTTTATGGTAGTGCCAGCATCACCACTTGTCACATGTGGAACAAGTCACACCCAAGAGGCTAAAGGCTCACTTCAGCTCTGAAACGCTCAAGAGAGTCAAGAACATTTTCCCAGAGCTGCCATTACTGGTTCCCACAGAGTTCAGGGCCAGCATTGGGCTGGCTCCACCTGTATCCACAGACACCAAGCCCTATTCCCACCCCCCTGGGAGAACAGCTGCACTTCAGGAATTCGAGCTGCTCTTGTCTTTGGGATGAGAGGGGCAAGGTCCAGACATTCATGAGCAGTTACTGCTCCCCCTATCCCCCAATCGGGACCTTACTCAGGAAGTGGAGCAAGACACTCCTGTGGATGAAGGCAAGCAGCAGCAGTGGTCAGCTACCTGCAGGCCTGCACTGCTGCAAGAAGGCAGAGCTCTCGCTCACTAGGTCAGAGAGAGGGGAAAAAAAAAAAACCACATTGTTTTTCTCTGCCATCTGCACTTTGATATCACTGGCAAATGTAAGCTTTCCATGACAAACCTAGGCTAGAGTTAATCCCTTGTATGGTCATTCAAGCTAGATTACACCAAAGATAGTAACGGATGCATTAACTCTGTTCTTCCACTATTTTTTTCCTGTCTAACAGGAAGACAGACACTGCTATTCCAGCCTGGCAGAGCCCAGTTCATCAGTCCCTGAGCCATGACCCAGAGACACTGTCATCTAAGTGTGGCCATTAACTGTCTCTTCATGTCATGCCAGCTCAGACATGCATGTGTGCCCGTTCCAGCTGGAGTTCCCTGTGCTTTGCAGTGTGTTCTCCAGGAGAGGGGAAGAAAGGAGCAGACAGATGTCACAAGTGCAGCATAACCAGCAAAACAAGAGGGACCTGCTCTGGACTCAGGGTTTATGGAAGGGCTAATTCCTG